TTCAAATCTAGACCAAGGAGGAAAGTCTGTGATACTCTTTATCTCCAATTAACCAGCAAAAAGCCAGAAGTAGAGCTGTGACTCAAGTAGTAAAGCACCAACCTTGAGTGAGAAAGCTATGGGACGGCGCTCAGCTCTGAGTTTAAGCTCCAATACTGCCAAAACAAATGAACAAAAATAAGTATTTTACAAGGTGAGGAAAAGAAATTGAGGTGCTGGTGGCACCACACCTTTATTTCTAGATACATAAGAGGCTGACATCGGAGGATTGTGGTTCAAAACTAGTCTGTGCAAAAAACATTCATGATGCCCCATCTCAATAGAAAAATTGGGGTGTTGGGAGCATGCCTGCCATTCCATCTGTAGTGAGCAATGTAATTAGGATTTGGGGCCAGGCTAGCCTGAAAAAAGAGAAAGACTATCAAAAATAACCAGAGTAGGAAGTGGCGCTGTAGCTCAAGTGGTAGAGTGCTCGCCTTGAGCTGAAGAGCTGACGGACAGCGCCCAGGCCCAGAGTTCAAGCCCCACGACCGACAAAAAAAAAAAAAAAATAACCAGAGTAATGCCAGATGTAAGTGGCATTATAGTCCTGCCATGAACTCAGGAGGCTGAGATCTGAGGAATGATATTAGATGCCAGCCCAAGCAGACAAAGCCTCAAGACTTTTTTTTTTTTAATCTCCAGTTATCCAGCAGAAAGCTGGAACTAGAGGCATTACTCAAGCAGTAGAGGACCAGCCATGGGCCAAAAAAAAAAAAAAGCTGAAAGAGAGTATGAGGCCCTGAGTTCAAGTCCCAGACTAAGTAGGGCAGAGCTGGGGAAAATGGATATTCCCCCCCCCCCCCCCCCCGCCCTTCAGGTTGGATTGAGCTCATGGGGAAGGAGACATGGCAGAGGGAGCTCTTCTGTAGTTCATCTCTGATGAAAGTTTCTCTGCCATGAATATGCGATGCCGTCTCCAGGGCCCTGCTCTGGGAACATACCAGGCTCTGTTCCGGTCACCGTGGAGCAGGCAGTGAATGAACAATCCAGAAGCCATGGGAGGGCTGGGTGAAGGAGGAGAAAGGCTAAAGTTGGATCTGGCCATAACTTTTTAGTTTTTTCTGGTTTGCCCCTAAGAGAACTGTTTCATACCACCAGCCCTGGATCCACTAGCCCTGGATCCCCACCAGCCCTGGATCTGCTAGCCCTGGATCCCTACCAGCCCTGGATCCGTTAGCCCTGAATCTACACCAGCACTGGATCCTCACCAGCCTGGATCCCCACCAGCATTGGGTTCCCACCAGCATTGGATCCCCAGCAACACTGGATCCCCACCAGCCCTGGATCCCCACCAACCCTGGATCTGCCACACTGGATCCGCCAAGCCTGGGCAGAAAAGTCTACAAGTTGGAAGAAGTTGGATGTGGTGGTGTACACTTGTCATCTCAGCTATGATGGGAAGCCTAAAATAGGTGAACTGTGGTCTGAGTACATGCCTGAGCAGGAAGCAAGACAGACCCTGTCTCAAAAATAACCAGCTGGGTACCAGTGGCTAACACCCATAATCCTAGGAGGCTGAGCTCTGAGGTTCATGGTTCAAAACCAGACCTAGCAGAAAAGGCCATGAGACTCTTTTTTTTTTTTTTCTTTTGTTAGTCATGGGGCTTGAACTCTGAGCCTGGGCGCTGTCCCTGCGCTCTTCAGCTCAAGGCGAGTGCTCTACCTCTTGAGCCACAGCGCCACTTCCAGTTTTCTAGTGGTTTATTGGAGATCAGAGTCTCACAGACTTTTTTGCCTGGGCTGGCTTTGAACCGTGATCCTCATATCTCAGCCTCCTGAGTAGCTAGGATTACAGGCGTGAGCCACCGGTGTCCAGCTCATGAGACTCTTATATCCAATAAAGTACCCAGAAAAAGCCATAAGTGGTACAGTGGCTCAAGTGGTAGAGCACTATAGCCTTGAGCAATCAGAGGCTTAGGGACAGCGCCCAGGCCCTGAGTTCAAGTCTAGGATCGGCAAAATACATACATACATACACATACATACACACACACATACATACATACATATATACATACATAACCAGTGCTAGAAGGAGATAAGAATATGACTCTGTGGTAAAGGACTTGCCTAGCAAGAACAAAGCCTTGAGTTCAAAACCCCATTACTAGTAAAGATTAGAGAGACAGAGTATAAGAGAGAGAGACAGAGATTCTTGCTGTGGTGCACTTGTGTATGAGATGGGGTCCCTGCCTGCCCTGTGTACAGTGCGCCCCGTTCCAAAAGGAGCCGGGCAGCCATGCACTTCAACAAAGAACACTTGGATGGGAAGGTGGACCAGAGCTTTCATGACCCTTTTGGCCTCTCACGTTCTTGGAGGCTGAGCCCAGTTCCTTTTCTAATAAGAAAACAGTCTGGAAGCACTTGGTGATGTTGTGTTAGCGCACAGTGTGCACTGGAGCCGCCTGGATGTTCTTCTGCCAGGCTTCGTGCCACGGAGCTGAAGGGATCTGGGCAGCTCTTGAGACCTTGGCCTGGCCCCGAATGCTTCCCGCACTTAACAGCTTTAAAAATATATGATTGTATTGTTATTATCAAGGAGTTATACAGAGTTACTATTTCATAGGTTGGGTAATGAGTACATTTCTTTTTTTGGCCAATGTCACCCCTTCCTTCGTTTTCCCCCAGTTTCTTCCTCCTGTTCCTGTCCTCCAGTTGCATAGTTCATTTTCCCCATAGTGTGTACTGAAGAGCATGATTGCATTTGTTCATCCTTCCTCCCTCCCTTTTTTAATTAAAATTAAGCACATGCTTGTAATCATAACTACGTGAGAGGCTGAGATCTGAGGATCATGGTTTGAAGCCAGCCCAGGCAATCAAATCCATGAGACTCTCTTCTCTAGTTAACCACTAGACAGCTGAAATACAGCTGTGGTTCAAGTGGTGGAGCACCAGCCTTGAGCAAAAAAACAAACAAACAAAAAACCCTCAAGGACAGTGCCTAGGTCCTGAGTTCAAGCCTCAGAACTAGCACATGTGCGCATGTGCTCTCTCTCTCTCTCTCTCTCTCCCCCTCTCTCTCACACACACACACACACACACACACACACACACACACACACACAAGGAAAAAGGAGAAAAAGGCAAAATGACACAAGAATATCTTCATAAGAGGGCTTTAACCTAGGCTCTGGTGCTTAGAGAACCAAGTAATAAACCCCAATTGTATGCCTTGCTGTTTATTTCTGTAGCCGATCCTGTTTCTGGGCAAAAAGTGAGAAAACCTGGATGATGCTGGGCGTTTCCTCCTTAATTATCGTTTGGTGTCTACTTCCAAGGATTCAAGAACAGTTGGCTGTTGTAATTTACAACACTTTCTTTTGGAATGTTGTCCCTCACTGATTCAGAGGAAGGAAGACGTTCGTTTCAATAGATTTGCATTTTATCAGCCTGCTTATTTGCACTCAAGCCTAATAATAATAAATTACAGTCCTAATAAGTAGGTTGTCCAGGAGGATGGTAGTGACACCCTAATAATTGATGTACGTACTTTGAAATTTAGGGGCATCATAATTTATTGGGGTTCTTTTTTTCCTATCCAATTTGAGGAAAGACATTTGTGTTTTGTAAGCAATAAACTCCGCTATTGTATTTCTTGGCCTAGCAGAGAAAAACATGATTTTTTTGGTGCCTATTTTCTAGTTATTACTACAGGATCTTGTAGCTGCTTTATGGGAAAGAGTTTATCAATATTTCAATTATAAACTCCAATTTTCAAGGGGTTTGTAATTCATCTTTTAAAAGTCAGAACAGGCTGTAGAGATACTGTAGGTACTTTCTACAACTTAGCCCACGTGTCTTCTCCTCTTCCAGCTTTTAGGGTTAAATTTGTTTTTTCTTCCCCATACAAAAAGTACTGGGGCTTTAACTCAGCACCTTGTACTCTTGCTTGACTTTTTTCCACTCAAAGCTGGTGCTCTACCACTTGAGCCATACTTCTACTTCTAGCTTTTTTGGCTGATTAATTATAAATAAGAGTCTCTTGTGTTTGTCTGCCCAGGCTGGCTTCAAACCGTGATCCTTAGATCTCTGTCTCCTAAGAAGCTAGGATTGCAGGCATGAGCCACCAGCGCATGGCTTGAAGCATCTTTTTTCAATTGATCTGTTCAGGTGTTGCTGGGGCTTCTGCCCGCCACAGAAAGGAATCAGTGCTGGGTTTTGTGTCTCTAGTTTTGTTCAACTGCAAATGTGTCTGGGAGAGACCACCCATAAACCTCATTTCTATCAACTGTGTGACTATTTGGTATGAACCCTTTTTGAAACATGACTGCATGGTGAGTCCTCTTCTAGAAGCATTCTTGGTTATGTGACCACCATGTTGACCGTTAAGAAAGTGACAGGCCAGGCAGCAGTGGCTCATACCTATAATCCTAGCTACTCAGGAGGCTGAGATCTGAGGATCATAGGTCAAAGCTAACCTGGGCAGGAAAGTCCTTGAGACTTTTATCTCCAATAAACTGCTCAGAAAAAGCCAGAAGTGGTGCTGTGGCCCAAATGGTAGAGTGCCAGCCTTGAACAAAAGAAGCTCAGGAACAGAGCCTAGGTCCAGAGTTCAATCCTCAGGACTGGCAAAAAAAAAAAAGTGGCAGATCACCAGGCACCAGTGGCTGCTCAGGCCTGTAATCCTAGCTACTCAGCCTTGTACAACTAATGTATGCTAATTAAAATTATTAAAACAAACAAAAAGGACTCTAGGACTAGGATGTGGTTCAAAGTGGCACAGGACTTGCCTAGCAAGTGGGATGCCCTGAGAAACAAATGGGGAGAGAGAGACAGAGACAGACAGACAGAGACAGAGAGCGAGAAGCCCCTGAGCCTCTTTCCCATTGGGAAAGCAAGAGAGGGCTGGACATAGTGCAGGTCGCCTCTCTCCCCAATAAGGTGAGGCTGTGGCTGTGTTCCGAAGCCCGGGACCCAGGTGAGATCCTGTCAGCCCAGATCCCACGCAGAGCCCCTAGTCACTGGCAGGAAGCCACAAAGGTGGAGAAGGAGGAGGGAGCATTAAAATTGAGATTTTGCTATTATTTCTCTCTGATAAAAGGGTGGCGAGGAAGAGCTGGATTGTGTCACTGCCTAGTTTTTCATTTGTGTTTTTGTTGCATGCCTCAATATCTTCCTCCAGCTGCTCGTGTTGTCTCTTCTTTTCTCCTTCCTTTGATCTATTCGTTTTCCCCAGAAATGGGGTTTATAAATCATTGTAATGCAGCCTGGGGAAAGATGGTACTTAGGGCAGGGAGAAATACATTGCTGCTAACAGCACCGGCAGGGAGAAAAACTCCCGCCTGGTTGCCGGGTTCCAGCGACAGGTTACTGATGGTATTTGCTTTTTATGTCTGCTCGCGTGCCATCGGGGCAGGGCCGGAGGGAGCGTTCCGAGTGCCACCCTTGTCATATTTCAAGTCTCCTCCAGCAGTAGAAAACAAACTGCTCCTGCCTGCTTCTCAGGGAGGCCCAGAGAAAGGGAAGGGAATGGCAGGGACCAGAGGGAGCTTCAGGAAGTGTGTATCTGTGTGTCTCTGGATCTCAGCTCCTAAAACATCTCTCCTCCTTTCCGAAACCAGCCTGTGCCCCCAAGCTGGCCATAATGAATCTGGTATTCTAGACCGAGGGGTCCATCTCTCTCAGGCACAGTTAGAAGCCTAACAGCCGTGATCGTTTCTTGCTGAAGCCAGTGCCTCCCCTGCTCATCATTTTTTATGGTCCCATTTGCTCTGCAGCTCTGAGAAGCGTCAGGGCCGAAGGTGTGAGTCTTCTCCTGGCTCAGCCTTGTGTGCGTGCATGTGTGCCTGCACGTGTGTGTACATGAGAGTCAGGGCCAGGCAATGAAAATCCAGCCAGGCCCTAAATCAAAGCATAAAGATGGTCCTGTTGTGGGAGAGCTGGGCAGGTTGCACTGGCGCAGGCCTCTAGTATCCCCAGGCATGTGGCAGCACTGCCCATGATTCCAATGACAAGCTTTTTTCTGTCTTAGGGCTTGAACTCAGGGCCTACATGCTGTCCCTGAGCTCTTTTACTCAAGGCTAGTGCTCTACCACTTGAGCCACAGCTTCTCTTCTGGCTTTTTGGTGATTAATTGGAGATTGGAGTTTCAAAGACTTAAATGTTCAGGCTGGCTTTTAACTGTGATCCTCAGAGCTCAACCTAGCTAGGATTATGGGCAGGAGCTACCATTGCCCGGTTCTAAGCTCCTCATTTAACTTCAGTTGTTCTGAACTAGGGCAGCACTGTGGCTGGAGGCTGTGGTATCGGGCAGCACAATGTGGTAAGACACCCTGGACACTATAGAAAGAACTCTTCTCCTGGTTATATCTTTTGTTACCTTGGTAGCTGTTCTTTCGAGAAGGCAGTGCAATAGAAAAAAAAAAATGTAGTGTGTGTGCAGGAGATGAAAGTGTGAAGATCATGAAGCCCGCCGTCCGTCTGAAGTCACTCCCTTCCTCAAGTGTAGCCAGGGGTGAAGATGTGGGCAGATTTGCAAGTAGAAACTTGCCTTGGGCAGGTATCCAAAGATAATCTGGGTAAGTTGTGCTCAGCTTTCCTAGTAGTAGCTCACTTTACAGTCTTGGCACTGTCTTAATTTATCTTGAGGCAGCTGACCCAACTAGATGGGTTCTCTGAGTATGTGTGTGTGTGTGTATGTGTGTGTGTGTGAACATGTGTGTATGTAGCACATAACAGCATACTTGTGGAAGACTTTCAAGAAAATGGATTCCCCAGGTCTCCCAGTATTTATACTTCCATACAAGCATGGCCATCCTGGGTTTACTGACCGACCCTGCAGAGCTTCTGGAAGCTTCTCTGGCTGTGCCCAGGAGATGGGAAGTCCCTGAGTGCATTTCCTGCCCTGGCCCAGCCCCTCCCCCAGTCCCCTGCAGCTCCATGGTCACATCGCCAGGCTGCGCTTGCTTCTTTTACTTCTTGAGTCCTGGGACCTCGGTCAGTGACCTGACTTTCCAAAGCCTCTGTGAAATGAAAGGGAGAGTAGATGGTCTCCAAAATAATGTCTGCCAGAAGCTGAGCAGATGCCCTTCACAAGGTGGAGTAGGGTTTAGAAGGAAGGAGGTGCCAACTTGCCACAACAATGAAGCCCCTGCAAACAAATGCAGGAGAGGCTGCATGTGGGTTGTCAGATGATTCCGTTTCTAGGAAATAGATCCACGGGGACAGAAATTGCTGGGGCTGGGGGAGGGGGGGAGGGAAGAGGGGAGGAGGGATGCTTTGGGACGAGAAGGACCTACTGAGCAGTTTGGGGCATCCTGTGCCGTGCTGTGAATGTCCTAAGTGTCCCTTTAACTTCCAGTTGAATAAAGCAACAATTGTAAACTTAGGAACACTTATTGACAGAAACCATTCAGCCCAGTGCCTAGCAGACCCTGAGTGCAGCTCTCTTTTTTGGTGCCAGTCCTTGGCTTGAACTCAGGACTTGAGCACTGCCTCTTAGCTTTTCATTCAAGGCTGGTGCTCTACCACTTAAGCCACAGCCCCACTCCTGCTTTTTGCTGGTTCATTGAAGACAAGAATCTCATGGACTTCGCTGCTTTGAATGGCCATCTTCTGCTATCAGCCTCTGAGTAGCTAGGATTACAGGCGTGAGCCACCTGTCCTGGCTTGAAGGCCAGCACTTAAACACATGATGGCGAACTCGATTCACAGGTCTGGGGTCTCCATGCAGACCCTCGCCTGTGGCCACAGTGTGGCATGTGTGTGCACCCCGAGATTCCAGGTGATATGGACACAGGGAAGGTGCTTACTGACAGGCTGTGTGAGGTCCGTGAAGGCCGCCAGCCCCCGCTACTTCCTAGGGACACAAAACCAAGGGACAAGTTGTGGCCAAGGCCAGGCGGGACACAGGCTTGGCTTCTGTGTGAGGTGGAGACCTGGCAGTGCCAGCCCTGGTTCCTGTGGCATGGTCTGGGCTTGCTTCTTGGGCAGGAGGGCCTCTCCCTCCCCTGTCCCCCGCAGCTAACTGGGCAGCAACAGGAACCAACCGCTCGATTCATCCAACCCAAGGAAACTATAAATCTGGGGGCTTTAGTCATGTCTTTATGATCATTCAGCAAAGAGCGACAGAGGATTTATTCTGCCAGGATGGCTGAGGGAAGACTGCGGGGGGCTTGGCCTACCCAAGGCAGAACTGCTCCCCAGGGTCCCCCCGCCGGGGCCGCGTGATCAATGACACTGATGACCATAAGGAGGCAATTACTGGTGTACGCCACCATGCTTTGTTCGGGACAGGCTTCCTGGGAGACCCGCCACGGCTGCACTGCTGCCCGTGTCCTTGAGAACCCATAAGCATTTTTTTTTAAAGCCCCAAGAGTGCTTGCTGGTTCTCTCTGCACATGTTAAGGAGGAGGAGAAATCAAGGAAAAGCGAAGAGGACTCTGCTCTGCGGTCTCTCACTCACCGCGCTACCCAATATCTGTCGATTGAACATCTCTCTGTGCCTTCGTTTTATGGGCAAGAAGAAAGAGGCTCAGAGAGGTAGCGATTAGTGACTGTCACACAGCGCCATTCCCGGTTTCCCCATGCGAGCAGTTCACAGACTCAGTGTTGAAATCCCAGGAGGGATCTGGGGGTGGGGTGGGAGAAGGGGATGTTTCTTGGGAGTTATGCTGGGGGAAAAAATTAAGTGTATGCCAGTGTTCCTGTATTTTCTGTTGGTGTTTGTTTTGTTTTGTGGGTTTCCCCCCCCTCTTTCTTCTTTTTTCGTGGTGGCACTGGGGTTTGTGGACTAAGGGCCTTGCACTCACTAGGTAGACGCTCTACCTACCACTTGAACCATGCTCCCAGCCCTTTCTTTTTGCTTTAATTTATTTTTGTCAGGTAGGGTTTTGCTTTTGTCCAAGGGCTAGCCTCGCAGGGTGGTCTTCCTATGTCTGGCCTCCCAAGTATCTTGAGGTCACAGTTGTAGACAACTACATCTAGCTTCTTGATTGAGATGGGGGGGTCTCAATAGCATCTTGCCCAAGCTGGCCTCCAAGTGTGATCCTCCCAATGTCTGCCTCTCAAGAGGCCAGGCTGAGCGGTGGAGCTGCTGTGTCCGGGCTGGCTAATGGGATTCCACTTGACCACTTTGACGTCATTCGGCTGCCCCCGACTGGGCATGCTTTCAGAGTAAGTATGGCTCTTCCTCTTATTCCTGCTGCCTGGTGCAGCCTCTGCCGGTCTGACTCATGCCTCTCCTCACAGAACGCTTCCTCTGACACCCCATGGCAGGCCATAGTTCTCCCCATCCACCTTGCTCTTGCACGTGCTTCCCAGGGAGGTCCGAGTGCTCTGTCCTGCTGGGTCTGCCTTCCGGGTTGAGGGTAAGCCTCAGGTGACCAAGGATAATGCTCTCTTTTGCTGGATGCGCTGTCCCCAGTTCTTACATGTAGTAGGGCCTCATTTGATAAGCATTTGAAAGACTAAAGAAAGAAACATACAACTTGTGAATAAGCACACCCAGTACCCACGCCACTCAAGTGTTCACGGCTACCCTTTCCAAGTGAGTAGAAGCAAAGTACCTATGAAACAAACCCAGCCCTCAGCCCCCTCTGCCAAGTTGCCCTTCGTTCTTCTGTCTTTTTAAAAGTTTGTTTGGCGTTAGCTGAGTGCAGTGGCTCAAACCTGTAATCCTAGCTACTTGGAAGACTGGAGATCAAGGGATAGTGGTCTGAAACCAGCCAGGGGAGGGGTGGGAGTGGGGCAGCCTTGAGACTCTAGCTCAACCAGAGACTGGGTACAGTGGTGCACGCGCCATAGCTGGGGGTAGCAGCTTGTGCCTGTCGCCCCTAACACACAGGGAAGTAGCCTGGCCTGGACATCAAGGGGGAACCTACCTAGAAAATAACAAAAGCAAAAAGGGGCTGGGGGCCTGGCTCAAGAGGCAGTGCCTGCCTAGCAAGCATGACCCCTGAGTTCAATCCCCTCCCCCCCCAACACACACAAAAGAGGTTTGCTTTTGAGGTAGAGTCTTGTTGTATTGCTCGGACTGACCT